TTTTATGGAAAATTAGCAAAAATAAGCCCCAAAAACATTGCAGTTGTTCGTTGGTGTAAAAAAATGCAGGAATCTGTTGATTTTGCATGAACTGGATGCATCCCTGTACCATTAAAAATGAATTAAATGTTCAGGTTCGTTTCAGGTATGTTGGAGCAGTCAAAGCTGGTCTCGCTCCTACTTAGTAAATCTTTTAATTGTGAAGAAAATGTTTCTGGATCTTGTTTCTGTGGAGTGATTTGTTTACCGAAATCAAGCTGACCAATAACCAGGCGACCTGGTGTGAGCTGAGCAGTGTGGATCGCTCAGCTAATGGCGGGTCATGCTGAGTGAATCAGACTCTGAGACACCCAGCATCCATTATTTAGAGGCTGAAACATCTCCAGGAATCATCCTCAACTACAAGAACTGTGCAGACGTCCAGGAGGCAACACAAGGAAAAAGATCCGTCTTCAGAAGCTTTCAGCTCAAAGCGCAACAGAGAAACTTTTTGCTTTTGAGTTAGACAATGTTTCAAGTCCATTTAGGAGATTTTTCCCAAAGCAGGAGGTAAAAACATTGGAGAGGAGAGCAGGTCTTACCCCTAATACCGCCATGCGTCGACTGTGTGTGGAGCAGCAGCCACGTCTCTTCCTGCGGTTGTGCGGCCGACGGCGTTAGCTGCTCATCATGGAGTGCCTCTCATCAAAGCCTGGAAACGAGCAAATAAAATAACTACGTTTTAACAAGAATATGCAGAGGAGCTGTTAAATAATAAGGAGGTGATGGTAGAGGAATAAATGAGGAGGAAAACAAGGCAGAGTCACAGAGCTTGGTGGTTTTCTGCTTTTATATTTACAGAATAACACCTGAAAAGTGATGAATAAGATTTTATTAAGTTTGTGCACACCAGGAAAAAAAACAATCAGTAAAAATGTCAAATAAAAAACATTTTTAAACACTTAAGCATCTAGCATTCTTAGTCCCCTCAGGAACTAAGAACGAATAAGAAGCCTAAAAGTAAACTATGGTTATCTTTTATTGCAGCAAATTTACCTGAAGCTTAAACATTTTGAAAAACCCAGCCTTTAATACAATTGGAAGCCAATTAATGCCATGAAAGGAACGAGAAAAGCCCAAGAGGAAGTTGTAATTATGAGTTATGAAATCATGATTATGACAACAAGTCAAAACTACAAGAATAAAACTTACAATTTTGAGTTTTAAAGTCAGAATTACAAATTTCAAGTTTTAAAAGTTGTAATTTCAAACTGCGCAGGTGTGACACATAAAACTCATGATCATTTTCTTAGATTATGACGAGATTCTTAGTTTTAAAGGATTTTTACTGTAACGTTTGGTGTGGACATTACAGTAGAAACTAACGGGGATCCTTAAAGAAACTGTCACTAATTCACTAAAGTTTGTGAGTTCAGCAGAGAAAGACAATGACTCTGAACCAAGTCCAACCGTCCTGCTGAATCCGCCCTCTGCTGAAGGACAGAAGACGTCCAGCACCGCAGTGACTAGTTATGCCATCACAAGCCGTGATTCATCGCTTAATCGTAGGAGTCGACCTCTCTAGTCACGATGAGAGGGGAAATCTGAGGCACCCACCGATCCTTCATCCTCCTCCACACGCATTAGAAACAGAAAGTCTTTAAAGTGTCCGGCGCGCCGGCCGGTCTCTGCCAGCTCATCAGACCGTGAAATTATCCAGGTTAGTCGGCCGAGATGAAACACGGAGAGGGCTGCTGAGGACGCACACACACCGTACTGCTGGCGGTCACAGCGCCTTAACGCGGATGTTACTGTAATTTTACACCTGCAGTGTCTTGGTGATGTAATGCGGTCAAGCTGCGGTCAAACAGAGCACCTCTGATTACTTCGCTCATTAAAAAGTCAAATCAGATGAAAAATATCAGCAGGATTTAGGAAGCAAACAGAAAACAGAACATCAACCCTGATAGATTTAAATAACAAATTTAAAGTTAACAACTAGAGGTTTATAACAACACAAACATAATCCACTTTTTTCACTACCAATACTTAAGCTTTAGTATAAGGCATATCCTGCAGATTTTTCATTCAACCATTTAAGCTTATTTTATACCGCGTTAGAAATACATTAAAATATGCATAAGCAATTAAAATCATTTAAACATTTTATTCCTTTTGTGTAGCAGGGAATGAATCTGCAGCTAAAATACTAGAGTTAATCTGTTGATTATTTCTGGATTAAATTAAGAATTGGATTGCAAAACATGCTTAATACATTTATTTTATACAGAATTTTAACCAGATGAAGCTAAAGCAATGCAACTTACAGACGGAGCTTTTTTATTTAAATGCAAAATGTATACATTTTTGTACAGTTGTGGTTTAACTATTGCTGTGAATATTTTGGAGATTCTATAAAAGAGTTTAGTATCAAATGGAATGGATCTGAGATGTGAGGTTGGTGTTAAAATTTAGACATGAATCTGGTTAGAAAAGGTGAAAATGAGTAAAAGATTAAAGTAAACTGCTCTTGACACGCTGTAGTGATTCATAATGGAGTTAATCACCATCCTTCATCCTCCCACTGAAACCTGTCCAACTGTTTGCCTCAAAAGAAACTAATTTACATCCCTGAAACCAGTCCCTCTGAAACCAGTCCCTCTGAAACCAGTCCCTCTGGTTTCAGAAACGACCACAGAGCCTCGTCACAGCCGCTGCATTTCTTCGTTAGTCAGATTCCACTCAAACATTTACAGTTCAGGTCATTAAAAATGAAACTTTACAGTAGAGATTGTAGAAATCTGAATAATCTGAAGAGACTCGGTCTGGTTTCAGAGCTCGTTGTGGCGCAGAAACGGCGTAGCCGGACGCCACTGGTGATATTCTTGTGGCTTCAGATGGTGGACCCGAGTCGGTACTGGTGCTGTTGGATCTCAGAGAAGCCTTGTCTTAATCATGAGATTATTTTACTCAATCCAGGACATGTTGCATGGATCCCAGGAACAATTGGTTTAGATCATTTTTAATGGACTCCAGTTTGTTTAAATGGATGATGCATCTCAGTAAATTCTAATTTCATTACGATAAAATATAGAAATATTAAATAGCATGAAATGCATTTCTAATGTTGATAATGCTCCACTAGTAGTAATGTGAAACACCCGGAGTGTATTATGTGACTAAAAAATATACCTTAAACCCCATATCAGAGTTTCATTTGACTTTTTTTTTTTTTCAAAAAATGGTGAAGAAAATCTACTTTGTGTATTAAAAAGTCTGATGCAAAATATAATAGTGTTTAAAAAAAAAATCAGCTGATCCAAAATTTTCCACCTCCATCATATTTCCCCAATTTTAGCTTCTGTGAAATCCAAAATATAAAGTTGCTTTTATAAACAACCAAACTCAATCAGTATGTTGCACTGCATGTTGCTAACAAAGCATTTAAACTGCAGGTTTATTTGTGATAAATCTGAGTTTAGAGCACAATATTATCTTTTAAATAAATCACCATATCAACCTGCTTTTCATACTCCAATAAAACTGGTGAAAATACAAACAAATTGCAAAATTAGGCCAATAAGAAACATTAAATAATGCCAAAAACTGACTAAAATATCAGCTTATGATGTTTAGGATTTGCATCACAACAATTTTGATCGCTTGTGTTGCTAGTAAATGAAAACAATTAGATTAAGAGGAGATGTTAAATGTCTTGATTTAATTTTGGCTGATTTAATTGTGCTCTCGTTAAGCGGTTTCAAAGTGGAGTCAAGTGGCCTGTTGGAGGAGAAAAGCAGCGCAGGGAGAAATTTAAGTAAAAGTTTCCTAAAATAAGAGGTTTTACTGACTGAGAGGAGAAAATGAAGCTTGTCAAATTATATTTCACAGCTTTACGTTCCACAAAGAATTTGTCCAGCTCCTCAAATACAGCAGATACAATTATCATTTATAGAAAATATTATTCAATTATTTAAAAAAATTACTTTATAAAATACAAAATTCAAGTAAAATTGTTTTAAATTATCTAAATTATTAACTGAATTTTTTTTTATTAAATTAAAAAGTCTTGAATCAAATAAAAGAATCACAAATTAGATTATAAAATTAAAAATTATTCAAATATTTATTAAGTGAGCAAATATCTTGGAGAGACCTCATCTGTTAGCATCTTTTTATAATATTTGAAAAGGCAACGTTACTTCATAACAATTAACAACAGAAGAAACAGATTCTCCTAAANCCNCCCAAAAACAATCATAAATGTATCAAAACAATAAAGACGCTGTAGTTTAAAAGTCTGCAGTGTTTTACGGAAAAAGAAAAGCAAAAGTTTTGTCATTTCTTCCCGTCAGTGAGCGTCCTCCAAGTGTTTCTCCAAGCACTCAGCAGAACATTTAGCAACAAAGACTGAAACAGTTTCTACCCTGAACGCCTCAGAAAAACTACTGCAGTTTGAATGATTTATGTCTAAAATGGTACAGAAACCTCTTTAAAACTGACAACATTTGCAGTCAATCATTCACTGGACTACAAGTCCCAGAAGATGTTAAGCACACACAGAATAGACAGATAAACACTCCGGCTCCACAAAGAGCCCCTGTCGGGCCGCTGGAGTGTTTGGATCCAGCATAAATTGGCCGCCAGCTGGAGCGACGGACAGCGAAGGCCTGTATCGGCGCTCGGAGCCAGGAGGAGAGGCCCCTGCTTGTTGTGGAAACTTTGGCTTCAGTTCAAAACACACAGCCCAGGACCACACACACAAACACTCAAACCAAAACTTAGAGTCCACAGAAAAACACGAGAAAAGCCCACAGATTCCCTCACACTTTCCCCGTCACACACACAGTTATTGTTCCTGCTTAATTCTTTCTGATGGCCCTCAATCCCCCCAGCACGACTCTGTGCCTGGGGAAATCATTCAGACAATAGAGGCGATCCAAACAGAACCAGACTGCAGCCAGCCAGGAGGCTGGACGAGCTGCCAAGAGGCAGCGGCGCTGGAATAATCGAGCTTTGAGTCGAGGCGCAGGAGTTTTTCAAGCTAAAGTGTCATTTATCCCGGAGAGAAAAGGAAGATAACTTAAAACAGAAACTGCTTCTGAAGGACTCCGGCCTAAATATTTAACTCCACTGGTAAAACAACGCAGAACTGCTACAATATCAGAGGTTATATTGTCAGTGTTGGGTCACACAGAAAATCAGCAGACAAACATCTGCAAACAAATAGATGTGTTTCCATTGACAGTATGAATGCACATTTTGAAAATAAATTATCTTAATGGAAACACAATAAGTCACAATAAACCAATTAATTGGATGATGAATTAAAACAAACTCAATAATTTGCATTTGTAAGATTTAGCATTTTCCTCTTTTTTT